TGACTGGGCCCAGTCTGCCTGTGGGAGGAGCACCCTCCCACCCTGGCCCTGCTGCTTGAAACCAGGTCTGCTCCTCATCTGGCCCCTCAGACCTGAGGCATGTCCTTGTCATCACCAGTGGCAGGGAGGAGAGGATGAGCAGGTCCCTGTGCCATTCTGCTAGCATCCTCACTGGGCAGGAGATGCCTTGGTGAACTGAGGAGGTAGCACCATGGGGTGAGGAAATGGGACCCATGACTTGCCTGGGCATGGGGGGGGTCCTTTAATGTTTTCTTTGTGGTATATGATCAATTTTTTGGTAGTATATATGATTATTATTTTAATGTGCTGGAGTATTATGACATTAGTTTATAAATGGTTTCAAGAAAATGTAGAGAAATTTTATCATCACTTCTGATCCCACATAAAAAGGAGGACACAGCCAAGGTTGTGATAAAATGTTTTTTTATATTTTTTTTTTTTTTTTTTTTTTTTTTTTTTTTTGGTACCAGGGATTGAACTCAGGACCTTGCACTTGCCAAGGCAGGTGCGGCACCACTGACCTAAATCCCCAGCCATGTGATCAATTTTTATAAGGGTTCCCTGGGCCATTAAAAAGCAGTTATAACATTCAGATTTCATATCTCTTAGCTTTTTCTTTACATTTTAAATTCACAAATATTCATAGCAACTTTATTCACAATAGTCAAAACATATAAGCATCCAAATGTCCACCTCTAGAAATATGGGTAGATAACACTGAGGAATGTACATACCATGGAACAGTACTGTACTTAGAACTTTTATTTCTCAATCTTCATGGTTTGACACGAGTCCCAAATTTTTTCCCCTTCTCATAACAAACCCTCTTTGATCCAAGCACTGTACAACTGTACATAAAGATTTAAGACAGTGAGACACTCACTGTGGATTGTAGCCTTAATTGTCAGGAAATGCCTCCCATCCCACAGGCTCTAGGTGTTCTCTTCTTGGACTTGATATGGTTTTCTAATTGCTTCCAACCCAGAGTATTCCAGGAACTCAGTGATGAGTGTTAAAGACAAAAGGAATGTGTGAGGAGAAGGCCCTGGGAGAATTTGTTTCCTCTTGCCACTTGGACAGGTGTCTGCCACCTGTTAAATGGGGAGGTATTACTCCAGCATGGCCACTGATCCTGACACCAAGAGGCAAGCAAGGCAGGTGTGCCCTGTCCTCCCAGCCCTGCTTTGCATGCTTCTATCTCAGACTGGTGCTCCAGCATCTGGATAGAGAAGAGGCCACTGAGGCTGTGGTGTGACTGTATCCTCAGCCTGAGAGCAGTACCAACAGTGTTTGGGAAGCAGCCACCACTGAAGCCATTAGTGGCCCTGCCACAAGGCTGCTTTTCCATAAGAAAATTACATTGTCACAAGCTGCTTGAGACATATCTATCAGCACTCATGGGATTTTACACTGCCTTCATCCCTATTAAAGTCCTGTGACCAGTGCCAGACTTTGTCCCACTGACTTTCCTGAGGATGTATTGTCTGCCATGAGGCACTAATTCCTATGTCACTGAAGGGCTTGGTTGCCAAGAACAAGTGGATTCTGCCTCCTGAACAGGAGATGCACTGTTGGAAGGATATGTGATGCTCACAGACTCAGTGGGGTGCCCAGGGATGACTACTGGATTGGTCCCAGGCACAGCCTCTACTGGACCTGAATATGTCTGAGTGTTTCCTGCAGACTGGGGGCTGGGCCTTATAGCAAGACACCCAGACCATCACTGCTTGCCTGTGCTCTGCCTGCTCTAGTTGGCAGGTGTACATCTGCTGCTTGGGCCTTCTGAATGGAAACTTGGTTCGGTGATGCCACTACCCTCTGCTAATTGTTTAAAACAGCAGTCCTCAACCTTTCTGACAGCAGGGACCAGTTTCGTGGAGACAGTTTTTCCATGGATGGGGGAGGGGATGGTTTCAGGATAATTCAAGTACATTAAATTTACTGTGCACTTACTCATAATTATACAGTTCACATAATGCAGGGTCAGTGAAAGATCTGAACTTGCTTTCCTACAACTAGATGGTGCCATCTGGGGGTGATGGGAGACAGTGACACCTGAAGTGTGTTGCTTATGTCCAATTTATTCTGTAATCTCATTTTGGCTGCTGTCACTGCAGAGAACCCTGCTTCAGGATAGGAAGTTGGAAATGGAAGTAGGCTTTCACATGATTTTGTGGTAATCTCAGGGTATTCTGCCTTGACTTTAACCTAGAATTATGGAGAGCTGAAGTTGTCTTAGACATACATTTAAGGCCATTGTCATTTGAGATCTCAAGCAGTTGGTCCTCTTCCAGCACAACGACAATTCACCTGGCTTTCACAGATATTCCTTCCCAGTTTGGGAGTCTTCTCTGTCTGGGAAGCAATGCTCAAACTCTTTAAAACTGAGATAGGTGATGATACACCAAATGGAAGAAAGAAGGCCTGACTCAGTCTCTTTCAAAATCTCTGCTAATGTTTCAAACATGTTGAAAATTCCAGTGTTGACCTGTTTCCCCCTTAAGTCCAGTTTGACTTTACATGTAGCCATTTTATCTGCAGATATCAGAGCATAATTTGTATTTCCCCCTGAAATGAGATTGAGTTTATTGATGAAGTTGAATATGACACACAAACAAGTTTTGGAACTCACTCTGTGTCACTGAGATGTGCTGCCAATGTTGACTATTTTTTAAAAAAGAAATCTCTTGAGTGGCTCTCATAACTCAGAAACAAAGATCAGTGGTCAACCTTTAGAAAGCCATCTCACTTCTGTATATGAGAAGATGTACTTGCTCTGCATCCAATTCCCAACGGAGCTGTGTGAACAGACATGAATAAGGGCATGTGCTTTAATGTGGCTGATAATTTTAATTACATCCTACAAAATACTCAGGTGACATTTTTCAGATGACCAGCATTTCTTTATGGATGCCACAGTGCATAATCTCACATTCAGAAATGACCTCTTTTTTTTTTTTTTTTTCTTTTGGTAGTAGGGATCAAACTCAGGACCTTGTGCTTGCGAGGCAGGCGGTGGCACCACTGAGCTAAATCCTGGGCCCTAGATGTGACCTCTTTGATCTGAGACGTGAAACCAGAAGCTGTCCAGTCTTGGCAGCCAGTCTGTCCATGTGTAGACATAACACAGTTTTCCTGAGATGTAATCATTTAAAGATGTGAATAGTTCTGTAGCTCTGGTGTTAGTTGGAAACAAAGTGCACATAACATCCTTAAGCACTTCCTCCTAAAAATATATATTGCAGAAAAACAAGCACTGTTGCCTTGTCATCATGCATAGATTTGTCAACCTGGATCTCTTACCATGATGACTCATTTATCCTCTAACAATTTTGCCTCAATATCCCTCACTCTTTCATCAATTTGTCTATTTATAGTGCTAGAAGCACATGTGCCACCTCTCTTAAAAGTTCATGAAAAATAATCTTAGCAGCAGGCAGGACCAACTCTTCACCTTTAGTAAAGGACTTCTTAGCTTTAGCAGTGCCATTGGTTACTAAGAATGTTGCTTTTAGTGCAGATACATTTGATGAAGTGGTGGCCTTCAGTAATTGCTCCTGTTCCTCATGTTCATGTTTTTTTTTTTAAACTCCCAAGATTTGTCTTTTAATGCAGAGTGCTTGGTCTCCATGTGGCATAGTAGTTTTGAAGTTTTATGGCTTCATTGCATAGCCAGTGGTCACATACTATACAAAGTGGACTTGGAGAATGTGAATCACCTGTGGCAATGAACCTGTAATTTGAGTAAGACTCTTGGTATTATTGTAATGGTATGTATATACCTCATCATTAAAAATGTTTGAGCTCATCCTAACAGGAATGTTTATTCAAACATTTTATATATAGAGAGGAAAACTACTTCCATACTTGACTAAACCACAGTACTATTTAAAAAGGGTAAAATAAAAAATAAATAGAAACAGATTTTAACATTCCTCACATTGCATAGGGTCTGTTCTGCATCTTGGTGTGTGCTCCTACTTGGTACCTGCTTGCCTGCACTTTTGAACCTGTATTGTCTGTTTCCCTGCATAAACACCACTTCCTGGTGTACTCCTTGCACATGCTCTTCCCAAGCAGGTGAGGAGATTTTCTGGCGGCACAGAAGGCAAAGGCAACCTTGAGCAGCAAAGCACAAAGAGCTAGAGCTTGTAGTGTAAATCCCCCAGCCTCCCTCCCTGTACCCTGTCAAGGTCTGGAGAGACCTTATCTGTCTGGTCTGCCAAGGTAATAACCTCACCAATGCAGTTCTGCTTGTTACTGTGCATAACCAACGGCCACACTCTATACTTGGTACATGAATAAAAAATACTCCAAGAAATGAATTTTACTGTCTGTAGACTTTTTCTTGTGATTACTCCATAAAAACTATAGTATAAAAATAATTTATACATTGTATTTACATTGTGTTAGGTATTATAAGGACTTTGGGCATGATTTAAAGTTAGGATTGTGTAGGTTGTATGCAAATGTCATATACACAGGGCCTGAGCCTGTGGAGATTTTAGTATCTCAGGAGGCCCTGGAAACAGCCCTCTCAGGATGGATGCACTAGAAAACCAGGGTCAGAAACTACCTGATCAAGGGATTTCCACTACCATCTACAATAGTCTATTGTTTCACTAAAGTTTGATTTGTTATTTTTTGATGTTGAATACCATGGAATATATGTGTGTGTGTGTGTGTGTGTGTGTGTGTGTGTGTGTGTGTGTGTATATATATATATATATATATATACATTTCCTGGATTTGAAGTGCTCAACTACAACAGGAATCTATCATGCAGAAGCAAAGTGATTATGCAAAGTAAGTATGAGGACCAGGAGAGGCTGTGAGACTCCTATTAATGGAAAACATCTGGAACATGTCAGAACGTCTCAGCTTCCTAGCCTGTTGGCCAGACACTAGCTATATTTTCAGTAACACCACTCCCCATCTTAAGTGATTAAACTCATGACTCTGAAACTTGTTTTTATTTTTTTTATAGACATAAAGACTAAAACTAGATGGGTTGGTTGTCAGATTTTAAAATATGGTTCCATTTCCTATCTATGATATACTTGCTGAGAGAAGTTTCCCTGGAGAACAGAACACAGGTGGGACGTAACCCCAAACCCACACAGTTCATCCAAAATTCAGGTAAGCTTTTCCCTCAGAATTATGCCAGTTTTCCTGAGCATGAATTCAACACTCAAGGATTTTCTTTTGGTAGCAGGCACGGCAGAGTGGACAGGTGTGGAGAGGAAAGCTGTCTCCTAGTGAGAACTGTTCCAAAGCCAGGAGACAGGTGTGGTGGAACAGATGTGCACAGGACAGAAGGACTGTGGCTCGGGGATGCCGGCTGTCCCCATGCAGCCAGAGTGGGGTCAGGCAGATGGAGCACTCGGAGATCTCTCGATGAGCAGCCTGTGACACAGGATGGACACACGTTTTTTTGAGGGGGTAACAAGTCCCTCCCTGCTAGAGAACACTCAAATGTAATGACTGCATTGGGAGACTGGCTTTTCCGAGTTCATGGTGTTAAAATTATATCAGTCACACGTGTGCATGCACACAGCGTTACTCCTATGAAACATGGAAAGGGACAGTAACCCCCTTGATAAGCAGTTTTAAAACAAAAAATACTTTGTAATATGCTGAGCACTAATAACAACATATACTTTCTTGCAATTAAACAAACTAGAAATTTTCAAAATACTTGGCTATATAATACTAAACTTCCTCGGTAAATTTCCCTAATATGATGCCTTAAGTTTTCCCTTGTTTTGGCTTTGAGTCCTGAGTTTTTCTCCTTCCTTCCATGCTGCCGCAAGTGTAAGAGGCAGGAAGGCCACAGTCACAGGGAACCTCTTCTGGAGGGTACTGGGCATGGTCTCTTCACTCACGTCTTCTCATTGTTCACAAAGCACCATTTAGCCAGAACCCCACCATTTCAATGTAAAGGGACCCTAGTGGTCATCTCCACTCACAGTAAAGGCTCAAGGCTACAGAGCAGGTGCAGCCAGAGCAGGACCCCCTTTGCCCAGCTGTTCCCCTTAGCCTCCCTCACAGATGCAGTGGCTGCCACCCATTTGGCAGGTGGTGGGCGATGGAAGGACCCGACTGCCTGTCTGAAGCCTACCTGCACTTGGATTTTCTCCCAGTCTTCATCTGTGAGCTCATGTCCACACTTTTCGTCCAAGTGCTGAAGAATGCTTTGATTTATGGTCAGGCAGTGGTCAATTTCTGCAAAGAGCTCTTCTATGTTGGTGTCGTAGGAACACAGTATGCGATGACTGATCTCTAGGAACTGAGAAGGGCAGAGGAGGAGCCAGGCTTAGCTACCAGGTAGGGTGCTCTGGGAGAGTGAAGGGGGAAGGGGACATTTTCTGAGGCCTGAGCACACGTCTTCCTAACTTTCCTCAAATCTCTGTCTCTGAGTAATTTTTTTTAGAGAAACTGACATATGGCTACTAACTTAGTGACTAGGCTGAGGACCTGGCCCTCATAAATTCTCTAAGGCAACCACACTCCATCCCGAGGGTCCCTGAAGATGCCTCAGGACCTGTTCAGAGGTTACCTCTGCAGTCCCCTTTATTATCTAACACTCCTGTTCTCCACTTCACTCTGAGCCTCTCCCACTCTGTCTCCTAGTGGCACTACTGCTTGTAATGTATGACATCTAACAAAGCATTCATCTTTGCTCCCTGCTCCATGCAGGTGGTGCACCTGCTACGGACAGCAGCCCCTGAGCACAATCCATGTACATCTGGGAATGAGTGGATGCACGACTGGCTGTGCTCACGTAGCGCCAAGGGCAAAGCTCATATTTGGCAGCACAGGCCCTCTGTTAACTCCTCACCTGTCAGCCCATGGAAGCAGTTTAGGTGTCCTCTTCATGCTGCTGCTCAGTTTAATTGAATTTGTATTGTAGTACCATTTAGCCTGCCTAACAGAATATCATTTTCACACTTACTAACAACTCATACTTTCTTCCTTAATTTAAAAAAAATTAAAAGCACTTTTAAATAAGAAAAACAATTCCCCTTATATGCAATGTAATACAATGTTTTATTCAACCTAAATTAAATAATTTAAACTTTATTACTTCTAGGCTTGTGTGGTGAATGACAAAAAAGAATTAAACAATTTCTTTAGGGCCTAGTTGTTAAAATAGTTCGGGAATTGCTGATCTACTATTTAACTTGTGCTGTACCAGCCCTAAAGATCAAAGACTACAAACTCTCATTCCTTTAATGTTCCAACTTAGGAGGAAAGCCAGGGGAATGTGCTGCTGCTGTAGCAGGAGGGTTGGAATATGCAGGCTCCTAGGAGGGGACACAGGAATCACCAGAGAATAGGGAGAGGATGGTGTGCAACGTGACATGAGCGAGGACCCTCAGCAAAGCCTGACCATCTCTCACCTGTTCGTGTTCCCTTCTCAGCACTTCACTGTGCAATCTGCTTGATCAAAAACATCCCATGGCCTCTTAATGTAGACAATCAATCTTTCCTGAAAGTAATCTGGTCAACTTGCTTACTTGATTCTGTTAATAATTTCTATTTTCTGTTTCCTTCATTCATATGAATGACTATGGGAAATTCTACCAAGGCTCTCACATATACTCCTGTCCCCCACCTGCTGGCGTTATCTTTTTTTGTGTATATTTCTTATCTCCTCAAATGAGAGCCTTAGATTTGGGGAAGCACCTGAGTTCTCTTTGTAAGGCCCTTAGCATTCAATAAAAATTTAGGTTTGCAATAGATTAGAAATAAGGACAAATATATGCCCCAAATGTACATATTTGAAAGGAGTGCAGTAGAAATTCCTTCTTAGAGGAGGGAAAGAAAAAAGAGCAATGCTTGTTTAGAATCATTTTGAAGTAACTTCCAGAATTCAATAAAATATCAGTGTCAGTTTAAAATCAAAATATTGATGCTAGCTTACTAAATATAGCGAGAATCCTTCAGTATGTATTTATGGTATGGTATCTTTAAAAGTGAACTGATATGACTGCTCTTGTTCTTGTAAGCCTAAGTATTCCAAAGTCACAATGGTAATGTGTTGTGGGGAGGGGCCAGTGCAGTGTATGCTTAGAATGTTGAGGCTCTTAGTATGTTTGATCCTCAGCACCAAAAAAGAAAAAAAAAATTTAAATCAACATATATTGACTACCTATTGTAGTCAGTTCCAAGCAGTTTCCCAAGTGCAGTTATTATTAAATATTTCTGAAACATCAAATTCTTCTGTGTTCAAGGTTCTGTTCTCTTTTACTCCTTCCCTTACTTTCTGTGTGGGTTTGTTGACCTTCATAGTTAAAAGGGCAAGAAGTATCCAAAAATATTGACAACTGAGTTCTAGTTTTTAAAGTCATGGTTATATAGTGAATTCTATATAAACTGGTAAAACATAAAAAATGTTCAGTTTAGAAAAAAATAAATGTCTTAATACATTTTTTCTTTTAAGTCTCATATTTCAGATATTTGATAAATTAGGTAACTAAGGGTTTAGGCCATTGTTATGTAAAGCAATTACAGGTCATTTAGAAGTAACATATTGGCTAAACATTAAAAAAAAATACTAACAAAAGTACCCAGGTGAACTTTGTCTACCCAGGAGGCGTCTTAAGTGATCCATCTTGATGTCAGCAAATTGCTTACTAATGTGTTGACTTATGGCCACCCTCAAAAGCAAAATGAAAAGCCCCGGAATTTACAGCATATCAATGAATCAGTTGATAAGCTTTTACTGGTTTAATATCTTCCCAGTCTTGCTGCCTGGAGCCACTTCAAGTTAGCAACAGAATGTTTGCCATCTCTATGTGATAAAGGAAGTCAAAGGACTGAGCAAACTTGAAGACCATTATGCTGTTTGGTGTGATGGAAATGAAAAAGCTAGAGCAGTCAGGGGCTGGTGGGTGTGGGAGCAAGCGCCCCTACAGTCCAGCACAGCATCTGACAGATCGCTAACCTCACCTTTGAAACAATGCTGGGGACTTTAGCTGGGTGAAGATAACATAATGCATTTGAAAAGTTTTAATTGCACCAATAAAAGACCATGCCTCAATTATATGACATATGCTAGCAGAATTTACAGATAAGGATCAAAGGCATTCAAGGACCAGCCACTGCACTCTGGGCAACACAGGGCTTTCTGTACACAGTGCTGGTGGGAATTAGTCTAACAGCTTCAGTGGCCTTTCCAGGCCTCTTTGATCTGAGTTCTCAAAAAAACGTGCGTAAGTAAGTGTACCAGGACTACTGTATTGTCCCAGACAACTCAAACACCCTCTATGACAGAGGCCTTTGAGACTGAATTTTAATTTTCTGACACTTAAGGGTACAAAACAACACTGACCTTTTCCGTTCTTACCACGGGACTTCAGCATATTGAAAAGAACCTACATTGTACTGTTACATCATTGCTGTGGCTCAGTCTTGTTAGGACCTTGCCAATAATATTTTAAAGCAGAGCAACTATGGGGGGAAAGTTCTCAGTGTATACGACTATCCCTGTAGACAGATGGTCCCTGTATATAATTAGTTAATAACCAATAGATGCATGAAAACTAAAGGGAAGACTTTACCTCTGGGGGTTATAGGAGTAAAAATGCAGGACCACAGTTGTTTCACAAGCAAAACTGATGAATTGTAAGGACAAAATAATCTAAGCTTATCTTACCTACCTGCAGTATTAAAACAATGTCTGGTCTAACCTACAGAGCACAGAAGGAAACAATATTTCTATCACTAGACAGCCTCCTTTCTGTTTTTTTCTATTGATTCAACTTCTTTTTCCCTGAACATAATTTATCTTTGATCTAAGCCAGTGGTTCCCAAGTACAGCAAAGAAGTTTTCACCCAACAACCAGCCAAGGAAAGTTAGGTTCCAAAAGAGTGAAATTTTTATGAAGTTCTAAGTCTGCAGTGACAATGAACACCCTTTATGCATGCTTAGGAGCTTCCTACTGTTCTGGCATTGAAAGAGTCTTTCTTTTATTAAATGAACTTGGGAGTTAGTGATGTTTTTAAAATTCTATATGGAAAAATTAAAAAGGTGGCAATGACCTTGCTGAACCGCAAAATCTCTCTTACAGTTCTGTAGACATCAAAGTCTGAACACTTCTGAAATCAGGAACTGAAATGGGCTGTTCAAGACAAAGGAGAGCTGGCTGCCTTTTCTTGATTTTACTGACTGGGAACAGCAGAGGATCCCACATCTATCTATCTTTAACTTTGGAATGTGCCACATCATTATTTTTCCAAGTAATTTGCAATTTTAATTTTTCAGATTAAAAATAAAATGAATTTGCATTAATGTAACATTTCCCAATGGTGAAAATGGAGATTCAGATCAGAAATGTGGCTGATGGTTTCATGTTACTTCCGGTTTAAAGAACTGTTATCCCACATATGAAGAATTTGCCACATCCCATACTGCTAGTGACTGCATGGTTTGCTTTGTGAAATTTCTAGTTCTTAAAATTCAAACATTAGATTTTAATAGTTCATAGATGGAAAGTTCCATGCACACTGAAGTTGAGAGGGGGTGGAGAACAGGCATGGGAACACTTAGGCTTCCATGCTGGGTAGAAGACCTGGAATTTCTAGAATGTCACAAACAGTCACAAGCCAGTCTCCTACCCAAGAGAGCCTTGAGAAAGCCACTGTTAATTATGTCTTCTGAATTTTTTTTTTTTTTCTTTTGGTGGTACCAGGGATTGAATTTGGGACCTTGTGCTTTCAAGACAGGTGGCGGCACCACTGAGCTAAATCCGTGGCCCTGGAATTTATTTTTAATGGATGTAAAAGGAAACCTGAAGAGGGACACTGATTCATTAGAAGCTGGACTTTATATTTTAGTACACATTTTGGCCTGGAGAATTTTCTGAAGTATAAAGTAAGGATAAACATAATGAGAACCCAGGACCAGCAGCTGTATTTTTATTTTGAGTAGTTTAACCTGTGATTTCTAGATTTTAAAGCCTCACTTTACTTACAACCTTACATTCAACAAAGTATTTCTGTAGGGATTTAAAGGAAAATAATGAATCTAAACTATTTTCACTGAAATGTATTTATTTCTTGATGAAAATAATAAGATTTTATTTTTACCAGGAGAAAAGCATTTCATTGTCTTTGTGAGGTACTGGTTCTATTAAGCTAAGCTGACAGACTGATAGGGTATCTTGGCAGGTGAAAAGCACTTGCTATACTAGCATGGTCTGGTCTTACAACATGTTGTTAAACTGTTCTTGTTTGAACTATGAAATATTTTACTTAGTGATTACAACTTTAAAAAGCACAAGAAAATTGTTTCAATCCCTAAATACTAGTATGTACATAAACAAATATTCTTTTAGTAAAAATTACATGGATTATTTTACTGTCAGGAAAGATGATTGTTTTGCCTTGGCTAGGACAAATGTGGTCTAGGTATCCACCAGGCACTTCCTTCCCACTGGCCTTGAGGAAGTTGGGGAGCTGCACATCACCTCCACCATGTTCCTGACTAAAAGAGCCCAAGCACCTGGGAAGTCCATGGTCAGACAGCTCCAAAGAAGAAATAGCATGGCAGAAGGTCCGGGTGGAAGAAACAGCTGCTTACCTCATGGTGGCCAGAAGGCAGAGTAAAAACAGGAACTGAGGAGTGAGGTACACCCCACCAAGCATACCCTAGTGACTCACTTCTTTTGGCCAGATGCAGCCTCCTTACTGCAAGTCAGCTGTAGCCACCCCCAAAGTCCAATCTTCCACAAGTTTTTCCTCTGAGTGCTTATAGCTTTGTGTAGATGTCTAGATATAAACCATAACATTCTGCCCTTGGCCCCCCAAACTCATACAAATCTCTTCATGAAAAGTGCACTTAGACCATCTCTAAGAGTGGCCAAAGTCCTAACATTTCCAGTACTGGTGAAAAGTCCAAGTCCAAAGTCTCCTCTGAGACTCAAAGCAAAGTCTTAGCTGTGAGCTCCTGTAAAAAATCAAAAGAAAGGAGCCAGGGATGGGGGCACATGCCTGTAATCCCAGCACTCAGGTGGCTAAGGTAGGAAGACTGTTGCAAGGTTGATGCCAGCTTGGGCTACAGAGCAAAACTTTGTCTCAAAAACCAAAAACAAACAAATAAACAAAAAAGCAAGATAAATACTGCTAATATCTGATGGCCCAGGATAAACATATTCATTACAAAAGGGAGGAAGAGGGGATAGGAATGGAACCAAAGCCAAGACTGAAACCCAGAAGGGCAAACACTAAATCCCATAGCTCCAGGTCCAGCACCCAGAGCAAGGTATGCTAAAGAAGTCTCAAAGGGCTTGGATATGGCATTGGTGGTTACAGCCCACATGGCCTCTCTTAGGCTGGCTCTACTCACTGCTTGCAGCTTTCCTTAATAGACATACCATGTTCTTAGCATCTCCAACTTCCTGTGGTCACCACTGTACTTTTGGCTTCCCAGAGCTTCATGTACTGCCTTTTAAGGGGCTACCTTTGTGTCTTCTCAGGCCTTCCTTTGACATATAGGTGGAAGCCTTTCTGAACCCACAATTCTTGCATTCTGCATGCTGGTAAAACCAGCATTTTGTAGATAAACCAGTGCAAGCAGTAGCTAGGCCCCTGTGGACCATGGCTACAGTGGCCTCTGAGTGCTGGGGTAGTTGAGTACATTGAAATGAATCCTTGGGAGACCCTTCTTGAGCAGGCTTGAGCAGAAGAGATCCTCTTCTCAAAAGGCTTATGGTTTTTACATCCTTGAGTATATAATGGGTAAGATCTGGACAATTCCTGAGATGCCTTTGAGCCATTTTCATATTGCCTTGATACACAGTACTTGACTTCTTTTTAATGCTAATCTTTTTAGTAATCATGCATTCCTTTGCCTCAACTTTTCAGGTACTGATTTTTTGTTGAAACTCGAATTAAAAATCATTCATTGCTGCTTTTATGTTCTGATTCTCACTGTAGATCTGGCTTAAAAACAGCCAACAGTATCCATGCCACAGCCTGCATGTTGGGCTGCCTTGAACTTTCCTCCATCAAATTACTTAGTCCATCACCCTTAATCTCAGTCTCCTGAAAAGTCCCAGGACATAACAAAATGTAGACAACTTTTTTTTCCAGAGTATAACATGCATGGGCTCTAGTCCAGTTTCCAACAGAGTCCTTGTTTTCAGCTGAAGCCACCTGAGTCTGGCCTTTATTATCTTCATTCTTATCTGCATTCTTGTCTTTTGGGCTCTATCCAGAATCACACATTAAGCTCAGCTTACAACATTTTATGATGTTTCTAGCCTGCATCTTCAAACCTTTCCAGACTCCCCCACAACCATTTCCTAAGGCTTCTGAACCATATGGTCAGATATAGTCACAACAATGATCTTACTTTTCTGCTACTAATTTTCTGTGTTATTTACTTTCCTATAGCTGTGACAAAATTCCTGGAACCTGCAATTTAGAGGAGGAAAGGTTTATTTTAGCTTATAGTTTCAGTGGTTTAGTCCACAGTTGGCTGGCTCAAGGCAGAAACAGCATGGTGAAAGGGCTTAGTAGAGAAACGCTGCTCATTCCATGGCAGCCAGGAAGCAGAGAGTAAAGAAAAAGAGCTAAGAACAAGAACAAACCCTTCCAGATCATGCCTCAGTGACCTGCCTTCTCTGAACATGAGACTTTTTGGGGATATTTTATTTATTTTTAGATCTAGACCATAACAGTAGGAAAGTGGAAGCTTTTTTATTTTTCAGGACTCATAGTAAACAGGACCAGGAGGGGATCTTCACTAGAACTCTATTGTTCCTAAATATTCTTTGTTCCCAGTTCAAACATGAGGGCCACCAAGAACTTGGAAAGTGTTATTTTTTTTCTTATTTACATGCAGCTTTGCAGACTCTATCCACAGTCTGGCCTCTTTACCACTGCTTACCTTGGATAGGCAGAAGTCTGTACTAGGCCAGGGAGGGAGGGCACCTCATGTGTCTACCACAACCTTTCACACTTGCTATCTACTGGCTCCACTTCTCAGACCCTCACCCTGTAGTATTCCAGGCTTTTGCCCATGATGTACTGATTGTTGTTCTACTCCTGAGGGAAACTCACATATTTTGCTTTAACTCTAAGGTGGCATGACATCACAATAAGCCATGTCCCAATGGACTTTTACACATGCTTATGACTACATTATTTAAGTGATGAGGAAGGGTATTAAAACAATAACACTGCTTTACAGTTCAGCCTTGGACTTGCCCACTTCCTTCAGGACTCTGAGTAGTTGTGAGAAAGCTGCCAGAGGCCACCTCCTGGAGAGCATGTGAAGATGCAGGGACTCACACTGCGCTCAGAGAAGGGTAGATAGTCTGCAGAATCTTTTGGGGTAAACAGAAGCTCAGTTCCTCCAGCCTGTGCCTAAGGCTGAAGGAGAATCCCTGCAAGGAGATAGGGGTGCCATGAATGGGGGTGGAGGGCTTCCTATTGCTTATGACCACAAGTGGGAGTTTAGCCTAAAAGGTCAACATTTAGCAAAACATAGCTGACCATGAAAATGGACTTCCATAGAGAATAATTAGAGGACAGTATGATGATGAGGAGTTGCAACTTGGTGACTGGAAGCTATGTATCAGGACATCACAGTACTAGTATAAAACATAAATCATGGAGGATTGGTAAATCTGAAATGATTTACATGGCAATTAACTTGAATAATATATTCATATTTTTAGCATCTACTGTGTGCTAGGCCTCTGTAAAGATTTCACCTGGATCTCAGACCCACAATGCAGGGCAGAAATGATTCTGTCACAGCACAAAGAAGCAGGCCTCTGAACAGCTGCCACTCCTGGTGCTACCAAGCTAAGAAAGCAAGGAAGGTCTGGACCCAGCTCTGGCTGGCTCCTCCCATTCTACCAACCTGAGGTAAGTAATGGGAAATTATTGAGTAAGCCCCTGAGAAGTGAAGGTAAAAGACAAGAGGTGGTAAAAAACAAGGACAGACAAGGGAGCTCTCCACTGCTTCCATCTGGGAACCCGCATAGCCTGGATGCATGCAGTCCCCACCACACGCATGCCACACCAGGCCCCACTTGTGCACCTGAACTGCAGGCAGCTCAGGATGGGACACTCAAGCCCCACAATGACCAAACAAAACTCACTTTGAATTTACCATATTATCACTTTATGAATTGAGGCTGGAGGCCAGTGAGTGGCAGAGGAGTTCTGGTAGCCTCCTGACCCTAAAACTAAAGTAAAGTCTTGCTGACCCCCAAATGACCACTTCTACCTAGAGACTTGAAAATTTGTGACCTTTACTCACCTTTTCTTCAAAGAATTTCTTCCGTAACTTGGCGTCAGTGGGAGGTATGGCTTTCCTCAGGCTTTGGTACCACTTTCTAACAATATACCCTCTCCAGCAGGCCTGGATTCTAAAGTAGATAGTTGAAAGTAACTACCTCATAATGGCTCTATTTATTTATTTTTTGGTACCAGGGATCTAACTCGGGATCTAACTTGTGCGGCAGGCGGCAGAACCACTGAGCTAAATCCCTGGCCCTATGATGGCTCTATTTTAACAGATATATCAGGGCTCCTACAAAGCCCTGTGCTGTCAGGCCACAGGGAGATAACAGGGGCTACTGAGCCCTGTCACCTTCCTCCCTGGGAGCTGGGCAGGCGAAGCCGTCTCACCTACCGTGCGGCACACTTGGCTCTGAACAGGCGGGCTCCATCGTGGATCACCCGGGTTTGATACTGGTTCCTTCTACAGAGAGGACAGGTTTTCTTTTGTGAACTTGGCTCCTACAAAGCCCTGTGCTGTCAGGCCACAGGGAGATAACAGGGGCTACTGAGCCCTGTCACCTTCCTCCCTGGGAGCTGGGCAGGCGAAGCCGTCTCACCTACCGTGCGGCACACTTGGCTCTGAACAGGCGGGCTCCATCGTGGATCACCCGGGTTTGATACTGGTTCCTTCTACAGAGAGGACAGGTTTTCTTATTTGTGAACTTTTCAAAAGCCTGAAGGCATACCTGAAGAAAAAGATTTCACTTAGAATTTTACGAGTAATTACTTATAAACAACATTTTTACTTCTAATGTAATTATAGTGTTTTCTCTCATAATTATGAGACAGTCCAATTTAGATTATGAAGTGAAGGAGTTTCATCAGATGTTAACACCTTCTTCATGAAACCTGTTCCAAAAATGATTTTTTACAAGAATATACATGCAGGGACATCAAAAACTTCTGAGCTGAACTGGTGTGGAGGGAAGGCGCACGTGTGCACGCTGCCTACAGATGTGGCAGGAATTAAGTGATCGGCACTTTGATGTGCATTACTAGCAACAGTCCGCTAGACAAACAGCTGTGCTGCCTTTGTCACATAAAATTCACGATTTTCAAAACAGGATGAGTGTGCCTGTAGCCTACAGTCATATTTCTAACTATGCATGGTGATTACGGACAAACTGAACGACCCTCTGGAGACTAAGATGAGTGGGCCTAGTGGGGCGGTGTGGGCAGGCAACTCACCCTGTGGAACACGTGGGAGCAGGACAGCAGCACCTGTAGGAGACAGAGGGTCTGGTCAGGGGCACCCGCCAGCAGGGCCCGCTGTGTGCTAGGAAGGAAGCTGTGCTGTTGCTTTGAAACATTAAAGAAGCAGACGGATTGCTTTGATGTTTACACCATGTTTTGTTTCAGTTTAGTACAGCACAAGTGTGTCAGCTCAACAGTGAAGTAACACCACCAACCCGCAGCCCAAATAAACACAGCAAGCGTGAGACTGAGCTGTTAAAATGGGGGAAACTGTGATGGAATAGGTGTACTTCCAGGTAGACAGGAGCAGGTAGGGAAGGGGAAGGGCCTTTCCACAGGGACTGTGGGAGAAGGAGTGGAGAAATGTGGAATAAATATCCTTTTTGGGGCTTTGTCCAGTTCAATTGCTGCCTCCCTTTTGGGTGGTACTAGGGATTGAACTCAGGATGTTCTACTATTAAGGTATATCCCTGGCCCTTTTAATTTTTTCAAATTTTGAGACAGGGTCTTACTAAGTTGCCCAGGCCTTGAACTTGTGATCCTCGTGCCTCAGCCTTCAGAGTTGCTGGGATAACAGGTGTGTGCCACCATGCCAAACCAACTAGTGTTTTTAACTAAAGGGAAATCTAACTTGCAAATAGTAAATAGAAGTGAAAAAAAAAAAACAGAAAAGTGTTAATATCTGCAAGCAAACAATAATAGAATTTAATGAGAAACAAAAAACAGAATGGAAGAAACGTGCAAGATGAACCCTGAAACCCCATAAGATATTTAAGCTTTTATTATTCATGCAAATAATCAGGTCAATGTTTATAGGATAATTAAGAAAGAGGTTGCTGAGGCCAGGAAGATTCCCTGTGGCTTTACTAACTCTCTTGTTACAATAAGGCACTACATTATAAATTATCTTAGGTGGCAATTCTGTGGTTCAAGGGTTACAGTCTTTGCAAAGTACCTAACCCTCACATAGGTAAGATTAGGTTCTATACAGAACCAGAAGATAATAAATATGTTACAAATTACCTGTGAATTCACATTAGTAACAAGTCTAATGGTAATGAAACTTCTTGAAAAAAATTAAATTTGAGAGTTTCAGGCCAAGGTGTCAGTAAAGCCCAGGGTCCTTAGATTGGGGATTCTAAGTGTGGCTCTAACTATGTCTGCTGTATTTCTCAGCTGGTGTCTCAATGCGCAGTGCAGGGAGCATCATGCTACACATTGCAGAAAACTACTGTGGGTCAACCGTTAGCACCAAGACAATGTGAGGACATGGTGTCCCTCATTCCCCAGAGATGACAGGCTAGTCAGGCAGAGGATGCTGACCGCACGTAACATGTTGTCTATGAAACCAGCATCATTGATCTACTATTATAGTTTCACAAATAAAGATGAAAAGAGCTAGGGATTCTGTCACAAAATCAGATATTCAAGCATCACTTTTCTTCTCTTTTATGATGAAATTCATAAAACCCCTTTTGTGTTCACCCTTCATGTGCTGGGCCTCAGGTTCTTCCCTGCATCCTCTGGCTGTCGTCTTGAGGCAACAGAACCAACTGCTGGATCAGGGTATCTGACTCCTTCACATGCACACTCTCACTGGTGAAGACTAACATGTAAGGATGAGGGAGTGACACGGGGAGGGCTGAAACTAGATAACGGAGGCCTGGTGTTCTCAGTTCTGCCCAGCCCCACATCTTTACACAGACCCCCCACCCGAAGCCTCTGCATGCTCAGCACCTGCGGGTGGAGCTTGAAGTCTTCTTTGCATATAGGGCACGGCTGTGCGGAGTCCCCATGCAGGACGGACCTCTGCTTCACTCTCTCCCACTCAGCTGGTGACAGTGGTGGCGGGGGTGGTGCATAGAGGCCCAGCTTTTGTGCTGCAGAGTAGACAGCAGTGAGTGGAATCAGGATTCATCTGTGATTTCAACAACAACTACCTACTACCAAGTATTCAAGGGGTACATTTATAGCTCCTATACTGCTTTGTAAGGTATAGAATGCTATTTTCCTACAGAGATATGGAAGTCAGTGATAATATCTTACATTTTCAATAATAATTTATGGTTTTATTTACAAACAACCTGCCACATCTCATTTAACATTCACAAAAATTCTGTAAGACAAGCAGGACTGATATGCAATTTTGTGGAAGGAAAAACTCAACACTAAGTTTTCAAAAAATTCCTCATTTTTTTCTATTTAACTATTTTGTATTTAACTATCAGCCTTCTGCACTTCCTTCCTCTACTTTATCTTGCTTCTGCCATCAGTGACCTTTATGAAGTGTACAGTAATCATTTGCCTTCCCTGCCACAAAATCCCTATGATGTGACACTTCTTTCAGGATAAATTTCTCAGTTCAGTAGTATCCGAGTCTAGAATGTAGGCAAAAACAAAAACAAAACAAAACAAAACAAAACAAAAAAACAAAAAAAACAGCAGAAGGTAGGAGGTGAAGGGATCAGCCTAGGTATTTGGATATCTGAAACAGACATTGCAGAAAGTAAGCAGAGCTGGGCATAGTGGTACATACCTGTAATCCCAATACTCTGGGAGGCTGAAGCAGGGAGATCAAAAGTCAAACTGAATATGGGCAATTCAGCAAGACCTTGTCTCAAAATTTAAAAGAAGGCTGGGGATGTAGCTCAATGCAAAAGCCCTGAGTTCAATCCCAGCAACCCCACCCCAACTCACAGTAAACAGAAAATGGAGAGTAAAAATTTGAAGAAAATAGCCCAAAGTTTACGTTACCACAGTGACATGGAATGGAGACTGCAGGTCGCAGATTACAGCAAGGGGCAGGGAGGATGTTTCCAGATGGAGGAAAGTGAAGATGGGAACCAGAGAGGCTGTGAGGTGCGTCAAGATGCAAGACCTGGCCCGTGTGACAGTGGACATCAGCTCTTGAAAGACCAAATAATGTAAAATCTTAGCCCCAGGGAGGCTGGACCACCTTTGCATCTCTTCTGTAACTCTAACATTATTTTAAAATAGCAACAACAAAAGCAGAACTCTAAAGACAAGTCCCAGACAATATACCTGAAAATTAAATAGGTACAAATTGAGTAAGTACCCTCATCTGAAATATCTGGGATCAGAAGCATTTTAAGTTTTGGTGTGTTTTTTTGTTTTTGTTGTATGTGCACAGACTTTACCAGTGCGGACTTTCCCTGTTCGGGAAATCCAAAATCTAAAACCACGTCATGTAGGTCTCTAAAATATTTTTGATTTTGGGCTTTTGGATTATGGATGTGCAACCCATGTGACCCAATTGCTGAAGCTTAAAAAGAAAAAAAGCCAGAAAGAAAATGAAGAGGTACAGTCCATAGCTGAGTGGTCACAAGAGTACAGTGCACCAGCATGAGATAGCACAAAGTGACAGTTTGAGAGAAACACATTGCTTTGACTGTGGGCGTGAGAAATCAAAGTCTGGGAAACAAATAGGCTAAGTGTTTAACTGAAGAAACCAGGAACAAGAAATATTAAAGAACAAAAGGAAATGAGGAGGAGGAAGAAGAGGAGGGCAGAAATGTAAAGAAAGGAGAAGCCAAAAAAGAAACCAAAACCAAAACCAATACTAGGTATGAACCCAAATTAGTTTTTTTCAAAAGAAAGATTTCTGATAAAATTGGACAAGATAAAAAGTAAAATGCAGACAAAAGTAGATTAAAAAGAAAGAGGGCTGGGGATGTAGCTCAGTGGTAGAGTGCTTGCTTGGCATGCACAAGGCCCTGGTTTCCATTCCCAGCAGAGAAAAAAACAAACAAACAACTAATTAAGAAGAGAAATAATCATACATAATTAAAAATAACTATAAAGTAATATTGATAATTGTATTCTAAAATACAGTGGGAGATCTAGATTAGATTAACGCTTCTTGGAAAATATAAAAATATTAAAACTGTCATAAGAAAAAACAGAAGACTTGTGATCCCTTTGGCAGCACATATACTAAAACTGGGAAAAACAGAAAACTCGAGTTAATCCCCAGCCTTGGCAGGACCAGAGCTCCTCTCAGTCCTGTGACAGAACCACCAGGCCGGGCAGAACAGGCTCCACTAAGTAAATCATGACTCCTTTGCACGTCACGGCAACCTGTTCTCTTCTGCTATCCATCAACATTCAAACAGCCTGACGTACTTCAGGTGAAGTGAGTCCTGTTTTTCCAACCTGTTCCTTGCTGGTTCCACATGGGGTCCTCAAGACAGTGGTGCTGTGGAGGGAGGCTGCTCCTGGCAAATATGGCTGACAACACATATAACTGAAGTTCGTGCCTCCTTCGGGTGTTCAGGCTGTACTTGGAACCAAATGCATCTTAACTGACTACCACCAAGAAAAGGGAAAAAATATTCAAGCCAGATAATTTTACAAGTGAGTTGAGTAAGTTATCCTAAACTTTCAAGAAACTTATCCTTGTTTGAGAAGTTATCCCAGGATATACAGTCAGAAAGCATGGTGACAGCCACCTTATATCTACACGGTCAGTGTGGTGACAGCCACTTTGTGTATGGGTAGTTCTACCAACGCTTCGTCTTAGAAGTGAAAACATACTTGGAAGATGAATGACTGGAGTTTAAAGACTTATTAATAACAGACCATGCACCTGGCCATCCTGAATCTATTCGCTATGAAAATGTCAAAACTATGTCTTTATCTCCATATGTACCTCACTGCCTCAGGGCCCTGACAAGGGCAGCCTCTGGTATATCACAGCCACACACACCTGTCTGGTGTGTGACCACACTTGATCAGCAGTTGACACGGACCCCAGTGTGGAACACTGCAGTGCTGGAAGTCAATAACAAGTGCTGACATGATGACACAGTTGAAGCTGCAATGTGTGAGTTAAAAACCAGAAACTGCTGGGGATTTAGCTCAGCGGTTCGGTGGCCTGCCTCACAAGCTCAAGGACCTGAGTTTGATCCCTGGTACCAAAAACAATCAAACAAACAAACAAATGAAACAACAACAACAAAAACCCCTAGAAACTACTGGAAGAATTTAGGAGTGAAGTGGTTAATGGTTTTAAGAGCTTCTTGGGGATATGCTAAGACATTAAGAAACCCTTGAGTCAGCTACTGAAAAGGAAGGAGAAATGAGGACATTTCCCAAATTTGCCTAAGTGTTTAAAACTGCACAGACATCAAAGGATAACATGATACTTGCATGGACTGCATCAGGAAAATCATCCACAGGATCACCAAAGTATGCCAACTTTGGCATCAACAGTTAGATGAGTTAAAAGACTCAACAACTTCCTATTACAACATTCTCCTAAAAAGTTTTGGCAAAAAACCATTTCAACTATCAGAGCTCCCTAGCCACCAACACTGTCTGCTACTGACATCAAACCACTTACCTTGTCATAGCTTGGTGATCTGGGGATACCCAAAGCTGATGACCTTCTCTCTGATGTCAGTGGAAGGTCACCAGTGCCTGCACCCCTCGTGCTCACAAAGGCTCCGTATCCTCCCCCATCATTGCAGGAAGAGGGGTGAGTATGGTTCACAAAGATTGGAGAGAGACTATATTTGCACATCTTCTATCATAGCACATTGCTGTAACTGTCCTATTTTATTATTAGTTATTTTTGTTAATTTCTTGCAGAGTCTGATTTACAAACTAAACTTTATGATAGGGATATATGTCTAGAAAAAAACAGTGCATATAGATCTGATACTATTTGTGGACTATCATAGCCTTTGCACCTTCTTCGCATTTCATTCTTTGTCTCACTGATGATCTTCTTTTCTAAACTAAGACTAGGTCTAGGATTACATATTGCATTTAGTTTTCATATACCCTTGGCTTCCTGTCATCAGGGACAGTTTCTAGGTCTCTGCTTTTCCTGAGACTTTTGCAGACTGATACCAGGGAATTTCATAGAATATGTCTCCTTGTCTGATCTTCCTCATGATTAAGTTCAGTTATGTATTTTTGGCATGAATGCCACAGAGGTGCCATTAAACCTTTTACCTGGGGACACTGTCAGCACGTGTCACCACTGGTGACACCACTGACTGGCTGGTTAGGGTGCTGGGTACCCAGGGTTACTATATGCTGTTACCACTTTTCCTTTTATAGTGGACACCAATGTGGGGAGTCACTGTGACTCTGTGTATGCACAGCCTGGACTAGCATGACTTTCCCACTAGATTCTCATTCACTGATGATGAGCACTGTGCTATTTGACAATCTGCTGTAGTTAGTTGTCATTCTACTATAAGAGTTATTCTTCCTCATCATTTATTTATTCAAGTTTTATTTTTACTGGTGATTATTGTTTTCAGTGTGTGTGTGCGTGCGCGCGCGCGCGCGCGTGTGTGTGTGTGTGTGTGTACTGGGGATTGAAGTCAGAGCCTTTGCACTGAGTTAAAGCCCTTTGTAAAAATTTTTTTGAGACAGTTTGCTAAGTCACTAAATTGCCTTAGCTGGGCTCCATCTTGCAATCTCCCTGCCTCAGCCTCCCAGAGCACTAGGACTATAGGAGGATACCACCATGTATCTTTATTTTCTTTCTTAAATTGTCCCTATCATTTTTAAGTTTCAGCACATACATTTCTTTGTGTATAAGCAAATTAGTTCTATACCACAAACACTGTACCATTAAACTCAATAGATTCATTAGTGCTAATAAGCCAACATCTTCATGGCCAGATTAGCTCACCTAAAGTTAATGGTGGTGGTGCGGGATCAAGGACATATTCCTTTTCTGGATCTTCTTCTACTTTGTAGTCCTCTGGAGTTTTTTTAAGTCCAGTATCTATTACAGCTTTTGCATCTCTTTTTAGAGACTTTGACTTGTTCTCTTTCTTTTGTACTTTTGTCTTAGGATGACCAGCTACTGAAAGATTCCTAATTTGAAGATCATGCAAAATGTGATCTTGTAAAGCAACTGCAGTGACTGCTAAGTTATCTTTTTTAGATGAATGGTCCTAAAAAGTAGGAAAAGAAGTCTTGGTTACAGGAACATTATGCAATGTATTACTTAGAAGAAAATGGGCTTTAGTAGTGGAACTTGACAGTCCATTTGACCAAACTGCATGCTAAAAAAAGTCTCAGCCACAGTTGCCTAAACCAGTGCAAACCCCAGGCTCATCATTTATGGTACAACATAGGAATATCTTTTCATTTAATTACCAAAGCCTTGATTATAATATAAATAAAAGCACATGACCTGTAAACCTGTGCATGCCTAAACAAACCCATACTGTTTCACTATAATTAAATTAGACTCCAGGCAAATATTAAAGAGAATCTTGCACCCAAGTTTGTACTTTTTATGAAAATGTAACACCTTTCCTAAATAAAAGTCGCCATCCAGGCACGAGGTGCTTGTAGGCAGTGCTGGTGTGGGGGTGGCTCTTTCTCGGCTGCTTCCCACTGCCCCAGACCACACACATGGTGCTTGCTCCTGCTCACAATGCTAGTGGAAGCAAGGTCTACACACTATTTTATACTCTCAAGAGTGTGAATCAAAATATGTTCCACGAATAAAACCAGGAAGGTCTACCTTGTTTCTCAACATGCTGAATCAGGAAGAGCTGCAGCGTGGGTAGTGAGGAATGCTATCATCGCATCACATGCATTTCTTTCAGTCTTCCACTGTAAAAACAGACAACAGAAAGAGTGTGAATAACAATCTTTTAAGAAGTTTATGAGGAAGATATGCATTAAGGGTCTGACTGATATTGAAGTCAAGGCCAGTGCCTCTGCAGGGCGGCACTGAGCTCACATTTGGATTCTGCAGGAAGGAGAGGATCTGAAACCAGTTATTACCTGACTCAGCTCTGCCCCTTAATACTTTACCAGAGTTGGGGGGAATACTTTAAATGAGAACAATCTATCAGCAAATATAACATTATGCATAAGTACAACAAAATTTTAGAGCAAAATAGGAGACCAAAAAGGACTGGGACTAGTTAATGAAAAACCTAAAGATAACAATTAAGCTGAGATTTGAAAAGTAGAGGGAAATAAACAGGTAGTAGTTTAGGGGCAAGGAATGCAGAGCAATTAGGAAACCAATATGATATTTTTATCTTAGGGAGAAAGGGAACCATGAAGAAAGTGGAAGAGGAATGCTGGATAACTTTTCTGTCCTAAACACAGATGTACAGCACAGGGGACAGGTAACTTTGCTCTACCACTTCTAGAGGCAAGATACTTAGTATATGTGCATCTGTTTCCTCAACTCTAAAAAGTATTATAAATATGTACTTTCCAGGGTTATTATACAGATTGACTAAGAACAACCGTGTAAATTAAAAGGAAAGTTTTCATACAGAATATAACTTGTAAACAATGATTCTTGCCCAGTTCTTTTCAAAGATGGTGAAAAAATTTGAAATTTGCCTTTTTGAATTTTGGACAAGGATGCATTTTACAAAGGTGAAGGTCAAAATGTACTAGAATGGAGAAAAAGTTATTTAAGTAATCTAAGCAATAGTATTGTGGGCCTAACTTTTAGAAGGAATTGGATACAAAAAGCAGGTACAGTAGAGCACACTTGAAATCCAAGTTACTCTAGAAGCAGAAGCAGGATGACTGAAAGTTTCAGCTCAGGCTAGACAATTTAGGAAGACCCTAAAAAGGGCTGGGAATGTAGCACAGTGGTAGAGAACCTGCCCAGCATGCCTGAAGCCCTGGACTCAATCTTCAGCAGCACAGAAATGAATAACAAATAAATAAAAATTGGATGTTGGGCATGGTGGCACATGTGTGTAATAAAAGCATTCTGGTAAGCTGAGGCAGGCACCTTGCAAATTCAAGTCCAGCCTGGGCAAATTAGCAAGACCCTGTCTCAAAAAATAAAAAGGGTAAGGGTGTTGCTTGGTGCAAAAGTTCTGGGTTCAATTCCCAGTAACACACACAAAGGGCTTTACCTGGGTACAGTGGGACACACCTGTCATCCCAGCTACTTAGAAAGCTGAGGCAGGAGGACTGCAAGTTCAAAGCCAGTCTGGGCAATTTAGTGAGACCCTGTCTCAACAAAAATAAAAAGGGACTGGGAAGCTCAGTGCTCCCTGGACTCAAACCTCATCCTCAGTACAGGGAATGGTGGTGGACAGAAAGGAATCAGAGGCTGAGTATGTGGCTCAGTGGTAGAACGCTTGTCTTGCATGTGTAAGGCTGTGGAGTCGATCCCCAGCACTGGGACAAATATCTGTACGGAATTATCCAATAAAGAAACTCATTAAAGAGTTTAGGGAGTGAAAAGTAAGGGCACTAAAGCACATGTGTGAGATACCCTTGGGTTTGGAATAAAAAGGCCCAGTGCTGCTTGAATCCTTCAGAAGCCAGAGGACAGTTTACTGTAGCCCTTTCCTCGTTTCCTTCTAATTCTGTCATCAAGAGATGCACGGTTCTATACAACATTATGCCAAAGCAGTCTATATTGGGGAAATGGTAAATGTAATTAAAATACTGAAAGGTTTCCATTATTTTTTTCATTCAAAATGCCAACAACTTGGTAGAGTTTGCATCATACAAAAGGCTTTAATTTTAGTAACATTCATAATGATTAATCAGTCCACTACAATCTACGATTTTATGTCATTTCTATATTGTGAGTTACTATCAAGGTAAGAGTTTAAAAAAACCCAACCCTTTAAGGTTTGGGATTTAGCTCAGCAGTTCGGTGGCCTGTCTTGCAAGCGCAAGGACCGAAGTTCAATCCCCAGTACCAGAAAAACAAAACCGACCTTTTGAAATCCTGTAGCTCATTAAATTTTAGAATTTAGGTATCGCAAACTTCAAATATCGAGTCCAACTCCGATTTATAAATGAGACATACACGGAGTCCGAGTGGCTCTTCTGAGAGCTCAGAGTGCAGCAGTGGGAGGGCAGAAACGTAGCTGGTCCAGAGTTGAGGGCTTCGCTGCACAGGCACAGTGCTCTAGGAGTCTCACCCAGAAGACGGGGCTTGGTCGCAGACAAAATCGCTATGGTTTCTGGATGCTTAGTTACCACCGTCTGTAAATAGCGATAAACTAAGAGACGTACTAAATAAAAAAACCGAAATGGGCATAACCCGTCACTGTTAAAAGACAGACGCACACCTAACTGAACCCTCGTGGGTCCCTGGTCTGTGACACCCACCCACTGACCAGGAGGACGCCCGGCCCCGAGCGGGATGACCGGCGTCCACGGCCCTCACTCGGTGCCCGGATTGGCCTCCGCCGGCTCGAAAACACCGCAACACCAGACAAGGAAAGCCGGGCAAGCAACACCGGTGCTCCACCAGGTCGGCTTGCGGTTGTCAAGGCAACCCACAACCTCAGCCCGCACTATCAGTGCGCATGCTCGAAAGCTTGGCCCCACCCCCTCGCACTGCACCCGCGTTCCCGTCGCAGGCTGTGCTCTCCACAGCGCGCATGCTCACCGGCTCCGCCCCGCCCAGCGAGCCGCCCGGCGGTTCCAAACTCCAGCTGAGCGCGCATGCTCTTCGTCTCGCTCCACTCCGCCCAGAGCGCGGCGCGGAAGTCCCAGACGCCTTGTGCGTCACGACGTGGCTGCGCTTCCTGCGGGCTCGGTCCGCGTCCCGGCACCCGTGAATCCTCGCGGGCTGCGGACAGTTGGTGGGCGGTAAGGAGCGCGGGGCTGGTGACGGGCGGTGTCTGCGTCGCCCCGTGTCTCTCGCCCTTCAAGCCGTCCGCCCGCCCGCGGGTTTCCTGGTGGTTCTGGCCCTCTTGCGTGGGCGGTTTCCGGCTCAGGGTCCTGGGCCCCACTCCCGTCCTTTGGAGCACTCTGTCGGCGACGTCCTGTGTTGCCCAGTAATTTGGATGAGTCTCTGTGTCCCGGCGCGCTTTGGGCTTGCTGAGGAGCCTGCGGCGAATTCCCAGTTTTTCTCCGTCTTGAACGCTTCTTCACTGGCCACGCATCTGCCTTTCTCAGCACATCACTCCTGAACCTTCCAGGCCTTCCCATGGATGCGCTTTTCTTCCTGGCCCACACCTTTTCTGCCAGGAAATTCAGTTGCGCATGAGACCTTGTGAATTTTTATTTTGCTGGGTGCCGCCGCCCTTTTATATTCTTTTATAAAAGGTTTTTGAGCTTCATGCTGGACATTAAAATTACTTGAAGTGGCATCCCTTCTTAGGCTGGCCGTCAAACTGCTCTGTCCCCAGAGCCAGGCAGAACCACTGGTGCGCATCCAGTACCAGTTTCTACCACTCCCCCGTGCCTCCTTGACTTGCTACTCCCTCTGGCCTCTACACCGTCCCTGCTGAGCTGTTCCAGGGAGGCTTTTCCTCTCCACTTTCTGCCTGGCCTGGAATTCTCCATTGCTCCTTTGCTCAGTCGCCTTTGGTCTATTGGTTGTGATGGTGAATTCTTGGCTTGCCTTCTCTTCCTCGTGGACTGTGGTTCTACCCTGCTTCTTATATAGCTGAAAACTATGGGTTTATTTATTTTGTGCTATTTTTGAGTTGTTAGAATCTGGTCTTACCCTTCATGGTCAGAGGCAGAAGTCAGGAGTGTGTTTTTTTTTTGTTGTTTTTTTTTTTGCCTCTTTTTAAATGATGATGATTTTATTTTGTTAAACTATAATTGGAATAAAATTTGAATGAAAGTACAAGGAAAACATACATTTGCAAATTGTCTTTTTCTTTTTTCTTCCTTGAAAGCAACGCCTAATGAAGTTAACAACCTAGAATGGAACTTGGTCACTTATCATTAACTGAAATATTGATATAAATTAGGAACATACCGTATCTATGAAATAAAGATTTTTATTAGTAAATGTTGCAATACATAGTAAATACATTCATCTGGAGAGGTTTGTACAGGTACTTATTTGAATCCTTTTACCCCTCCCCTCATCTCTAGAGCCCTTTACCGTTTGCAAAAGGTCTATTTCCGTTTCCTGTTTACTTTGGCTTTTTCATATAAGAGAAACCATGTAATTTAAGCTGTGTCTTAGTTTATTTCACTAAGCATTATGATCATTTTCCTACAGATGATTCAAATTTATCGTCATTCTTGACTGAGTAGTACTCTATTGTGTATATATACCACAGTTTAACCATTCATCCAATGATGGACATATAGGACACTTCCAAGGTTTAGCCATTGAGTTGTGCTGGTGTAAACATGGAGGTGCATGTATTACAGTAACAATGATGTCTTTAACTCTTGGGAGGATATCTGAAGGGGAATAGCTGGGTTACATGAACTTTGTATTTTAGTGTTTTTTTTTTTTTAAATCTGTGTATTCCTTTCCATAGTGGTTGTATCAGTTTACACTTAAGTCCACCAGTAATGTAAAAGGGTTCTTTTCTCTGCAGTTTTCCAGCATTTTTTTTTTTGTACCGGGGATCAAACTCCGGTCCTTGTGCTTGCAAGGCAGGCAGCAGAACCACTGAGCTAAATCCCCGGTCCTCAGCATTTTTTTTAAAGTTATCGATGATAGCCATTCTTTGGATCTGTATTATTTTAATTTGCATCTCTGTACTGACCCAAAGATGTTCAATATTTTTTCATGTATTGGGCATTTGTATTTCTTCTGAGAAGTGTTTATTCATTTCAGTTACCTATTTTTTGATTGGACCTTTTATTTTGTGGGAGTGTCTTTTTAAAAAATTCTTTATATATACTAGATATTAGTCCTCTGTCCTAAGGCTGTCTGGCAAAAATATGTTCTGTAAGTTGTCTCTTAAGTCTGTTGGTGTTTCCTTTGCTATGAATATTTTAAATTTGGTATAATTAAATTTGTTATTTCTTGTGTACTTGGGGTTCTGTTTAGGGAGGCTTCACCTATACCAGTGATAATGAACCTGTTTTAGAGCTTTTAGTGATAACAGCTGGCTGCTGTCCATGTGCCATATGTTCCCCACCACTGACCTATACCTATGTCTTCAGAGTTTTCCCTATTGTATCTTCAGTGGCTCTGTTTTAGTCTTTATATTTTTGATCCATTTTGATTTTATTTTAATATGTGATGTGAGGTAATGGATCTAGAGTCAGTCTTCTGCATGTGAATAACCACTTTCCCCAGCATCATTTGTTGGTTGTCTTTTCTGTAGCATATGTTTTTGGATTCTTTGTCAATGATCAGATGTGTGAGTGTGTCTGAGGATGTTTCTGCATCCTGTCTTCTGTCCCACTAATCCACATGTCTGTTTTTGTGCCAGTGCTGTGCTGTTTTTATTACTGTAGTTTTGTGATATAACTTGAAATCTGGGCTTGTGAGGCCTGCTTTGGTCTTACTGGCCAGAATTGCTTTTGCTATTCTGAGACTCTTTTCATTCCATGTAAATTTTAGGATTATGTTTTTCTAGTTCTGTGAAGAATGCTGTTGGTATTTTGATTGGGATTGCATTAAGTCTGTGTCAGTTTTGGTAATATGGTTGTTTTGGCAATATTGGTTCTACCTATGCAAGAACGGGATGTCTTCTATTTTCTGGTGTCTTCTTCAATTTCCTTTTTCAGAGTACTATAATTTTTAATTGTGGAGGTCTTTCATTTCCTTCATTAAGTAAATACTTAGGTATTTACTTTTTGGAATCTGTTGTATGGTATTTTCTTTATTTATCAGTGTGTTCATTGTTGGTGAAAAGGATTCTACTGATTTTTGTGTATTAACTTTGTGTCCTGATACCTTGCTGAATTTATTAGTTCTATGAGTCTTTTGGTAGAATTTTTTGTTTCTTCTATGTTCAAGGTCATGTCATTTGCAAATAATTTGACTTCCTTTTTTTCTTTTAATGTGTCCCTTTTATTTCTTTCTCTTGCCTGGTAGTGCTGGCTAAAGTTTTGAGTACAGTAAGTCCCTGACTTGTAAATGAGTTCAATTCTGGGAGGATTGTAAGTCAAGATTCATTTGTAACCCAACAGAATGAGTCTTTTTTTTTAATTCTTTTTCTTCTTTTTATTGAGTTTATTGGTACAATCTAGGTATATAATACAGTTACATTCATCATTGGGATTCTGTACCTTTACATAATAGGTCTTGATTCTCATTTTTTCCCCTTGTCCCTGCCCTCCCTTCACCCCCTACTCCCCTCCCCATTTACAAACACTTTATTTCCACTTTTTCAGTTTCTCATATTTTTTCCTCTCCCTTATTACCCTTCCTCCACCCTTCCCACTTTTGCTACACCTTTAGCCCTTTACTTCCTATTTCACATTATTAATTATTTCATTAGGATCCTGTGTACTATTATAGTTTTTCACACCAACGAAACTATTTGGTATTTCAGTTAAAGAAATCTGTGTATGAACATTAAAAATAGGGAATCCTAAAATAAAACTAAAAAGGAAAGTAAAAGAAAAGGCAATGATGCAACATTAAAATAATCCTTAATTCTGAAGATGAAAATGGTCCTTGAACATATTTAAATTGCTTCTTCCTCTTATAGTCTTATCTTATTCTTTTTTTTCATTATTTAGAGAATACTTTATTAGTTTCTGTAATCAAACCCACGTAGATATGACCTTACATATTTAGTATGATGTGTTTCCCCTGTATACATGGAAAAAAGTAAAAAATAAAAATAAAAAAATTAGCATTTCTAGACCTAGCCATTTCTATGGCTGTCCATTTCTGTACAGTGCCAACTCAACACAGTAAATTGGGATGACTTTTTGCAAAATTGGCAGCACCGTTAAAGTTTCCCAAAATTCAATTTATATATATAT